TGATCGTTCCTGAGTGGGCAACCATGAAAGCAGGTAGTGCAGAAATAAATGTTGTCTTTGCAGTGGATTTGATACCTCTTTTTGCTAACCAGGAAGACACTTTGCATGAGCATATAAGCAATTATATCATCTAAGTTTCATTTATTCAAGTATTTAATAAAATGCAGAAACCTAGTATTTTTATTAGTTAAACGACAATGCAACAAATAGCCTAGGTCTGTAAGAAGTAAAGGTTATCACTAAGTTGATTTGTTCTCTGAAGGAATTGATTTCCCTGATGAATGCACGTTGTCTCTAGCTCAGGAGTTGACCTCCTTGTCTCGAGCGCCGCGGGGTACGTTGTCTCCAGCACAGCGTGTGGCTGGGCAGGCTCTGGAGCCACCTCTCTGGCAACGTCTTCTCGAAAGGCAGTTGGCCACAGTTGAAAAGATGGGAAAGAGAGGATTCAACTGAGAAGAACTTCTTTCTCAGGCTTCTAAGGAAGAAATGAGGGGCACTGGCGAGAAGTACAACTGGTAGCAGAGTATGAGGGAAAGCAAGTCTTCAATGTGGATAAAGGAAGGCAAAATTATTAAAAATTATGGAGGTAGTGAATAACTGTTAAAAATGTATGCCTACTACAAGTTAAATGTCAGAACTATTGGGGAAAAAAAGTTATTTAGGACAGTGCTTGGAGGCATAATTAGGAGCTTTAGGATGAAAAGGGAAAATGGGAAAAAGATTTTGCGGCAATGTCAGGAAAACGTCCCAGCAGTGGATTAGCTCAGCGGTTTAGCCTGGGGTTACCTGACCTCTTACCAGCCGGACCCAGCCTGCGCAGCTCCCTGGGAGCGGTGTCCCAGCCAGAGGCGGGAGGGCGCTTGCCCCTTGCTCTGGGCCCCCATCCCGGCGGGCCTGCAGTGAAGCACGGCATTCCGGACCCGCCATGCGTGGGACCTGCCGCGCATGGGACCCACTGCACGTGGGATATGGGCACCCCTTGGGCGAGCCGCGCGGGCGCTCCCCACACTGGTGGGCTGGGCAGCGGGCTCCTTCCCCGGGCGGGGGCCAAGTCTGCCTCTGAGGAGGCTTTAGCAGAGCTCTGCGATGAGGGAAGCAAGCTGCCTTCTGAAAAGAGAATGTGAACTTCTGTTTATG